TATTTTTTAAGTGGTTGCCTTTAGAATTACAGTTAGCATCCTAACTGAAAACAGTCTAGTACCAAATTAATTTCAGTAGTATACAAAAACTTTTTCCTATTAAAGCAAAATATGTTAGTGTTAGGTATTTTTGGGTATACCATTTTAATTCCCTTGTTGTTTCTTTAACACTTTTTTTAAAAGTTATTTTTAAGCGGTTACCCTTAGAATTGCATTTAGCATCCTAACTGAAAACAGTATATTACCAAACTAATTTCAATTGTATACAAAAACTTTGCTCATTAGAATGAAGCTGTATTAAATGTGTACATTTGTGCACATTTTCATATTTATCAATGTTGTTACCTTTATTGGAGTTCTTTATTTCCTCATGTGAATTTGTGTTACTGTCTAGTGTCCTTTCATGTCAGCCTGGAGGCCTACCTTTAGTATTTCCTGTAGGGAAGGCTCACTAGTGATGAACTCCCTCATTTTTTATCTGGGAATGTCTTCATTTCTCCTTCATCTTTGAAGGATAGTTTTGCTGAATATAGAATTCTTTTGTACTTTGAATGTGTCATTTCAGTGTCCTCTGGCTGCCAAAGCTTCTGATGTAAAGCCAGCTGGTATATGATGAGTCTCTTCACTTTCTTTTCAAAATTCTGTTGGTCCCTGGCTTTGGACACTTTGATTATAATGTGTCTTCGTGTGAATCACTGTGAATTTATTACATTGGGAGCTTTTTGAGCTTTGTAGATGTGTCATTCATGTTTTTCAACAACACTCAGCCAGGCAGTTGACAGCTGTTTCTCCTTCACGTCTTGCTTGCTCAGAACCTCAAGGTCAGCCAGAGGTGAGAGCTCAGGGCTTTCTCAGGTCTCTCTCTCTGGGATTTTCACAGCCCGGCACACACACATGGTCTTTCAGATTCCCAGGACTGTGCCAGAGCTTTGCAGAGCCTTTGTGGACCTCTGATTCTTCAGGCCCTCCTTCTGAGCTTCTTGTTTAGTCTCTTGTTTGCCCCGGCTATTATGCACTGCCTCAGGCAGCAGCAGCTAAAGCATTTGCTGTAAATGTTTTCCACTGTTGCACCCCCAAGTAGTGGTTTAAAGTCCATAGCCTCTGAGCCCTCGTTTTGGAGACTGTCTTTGAATGAACCCTCCAGCCAGCTGTCTCCTTGGAGAGCCAGGCTTCTCACTGCTCTTGGCCTTGGCACATATCTGCCCCGTGTATACCAGGCCCTGAGGAGTCTCTTCTTGCCGATTGAACTGCAACAGAACCCTCCACTTTAAAATTTATTATAAGCGTTTATCCTAATCACCACTGTCACTATGACTCTCTCCCCAGTTTTTATAATTGCTGTTAGTAAACTGCTTATAATCTATGCCATCATTCTTATAATGATAATTGGCATTCTTAACAGTGTGCCATCTCACCTGTGACTGTGGCACCATAGGACTGGTGGCAGGTCTTGCCTTTCAGAAAAGCCCTTTATCGCTTCTTGGCTAAGATCAAGTGTAGTGTCTGTTCTTACCAGAAGGGCACCCTTTGCGTCCAGGCTGTGTGAACTGGGCAGTGCGTTGTGTACAGGGAAGTGTCTGTTCACCCTCGAGCCCCATCCACTTCGGGGGTCTGGAGAGACGCCAGGGGAGCAGGCCCAGGGCGGGCATTGGCCTCTCTTGGGGCTCTCAACTCAGCTCTCATCAGTTCAGCATCCTGATTTGGTTTGAGATGAATTCTCAGTGTCTGGACACACCAGAGAAAGGGTCAGCATCAAATCCACAAAAGGCCACTCGGGACGGTTCTTTACTTGTCCCGTTTCCCATCTGACCCCTTGAGGGCCCTGGTCTCAGTGGCCCTCCTCCCATTGTGGAAGGCCTGTGTTTCTGTGCTGTTTCCCGTCCCAGCAATCTGCATGCCCGCAGCCAGGCTCTGTTGGAGGTGTGGCACCACCTATGAAGTGAGGAGCAGCCGGTGTGACTTCTGGGCTCTTGCCGGGGGGCGTGGCCTGTTGTGAGTTGGGAGGGCCTTGGCACTGTGGGTCAGCATCACCCACCAGGAGTCGCCCCCCAGGCTTCCTGAAACCTCACTGCCATGAAAACATCAATGTATTTGGAAACCGAAGCAATATTGTCAGTGCAAGAATGGGGCAAGAGAGTTGAGGGTACCAACAATGGAGAGATGCCACCGACCCTGGAAGTGGTGACGGGCTCAGCGGGCGAGGAAGGCGGCAGCCGAGAGGACAGCCCAAGGGGCAGCGGGGTGCCGGGGATGGGGCAGTGGTGAGCAGATGGAAGCAGAGGGCACAGGTGAAGCAGGTCTGGAGAGGGCCACCTGCATGGGGTAGTGGCCCCCGGCGAGACCCTAGCCTGTTCTTCTGTGAAGAAAATGATGGAAATGAATAAGCAAACCAGCTCCCAAGCCGCTGGCCTGGCCCCCACAGAGCCTGAGCGGCTCCTAGCTTGGCTCTTGATGTGGCTGATGTGGCTGGCGGCAGCCCGGGTGAAGCCTACCTTTTCGCAGCCTCTGAGGGTCCATGGGGCAAGAGCTGACCCCTGCCTCACCTCTGTGGAACTCCTCCAAACTGTCCTCCGGAGAGATACCCCACAGGCCATGGCTCCACCACAGCGGACCAGGGGGAGCGGCAGCTACCCAGATCCTCTCCCCAGCCGCGGCGGCTCGAAAAGCAGCCCCATGCAGGAGAGAAGAAAGCCCTGGATGAGCAGGAAATCTGACCCAAAGGACTTTCCGACACTGTTGAATACACTTAGTGCGACTTCCAGACGTGCCTGGACAGCTGTGAAAACCCAGCCACAAGGAGACTAGAAACGAAATGAGGCTGGGATCTCTAAGAAGAGAGAAAAGAGACAGAAAAACCAGCACAAAGATTAGCGTCGTGCAGGCCCCAGCCAGGCACAGGGTCTCCAGGAAAGGGGGCAGGGGAGATGGAGGGCAGGGCTCCGGAGGAGGCGGGCACACAGAACAAGCCAGGTGAGTGCAGGTGCTGAGCACAGGGCGGGTGGGACCCACCTCCTGTCATCTGGAGTACAGGGGCCAAGGGCTGGGGCCAAAGCTTCGGGAGAGACAACCTGTGGCCTCAGGAGCAGCCAGGATGCCTTACAAGCACTGAGGGCCCTGCACACCCGGCCTTGGGCTCTGGACCCTGCCAAGCTCTGCACCAAGAGTGAGGGCAGAGCAGGAAGGCTGGGATGGAGGTCTAGACGATTTGATAAGGGCAGATGCCACACGAGGGACACCGTCTGGAGCCTAGGAAAACAGTCTAGAGCAGTGCGCATTGCGGCAGGAAGCCCCTTAGCTGGGACGCCACTGGAAGCTGATGGCTAGTGGAGAGGGTCCTGAGGCAATTCCGGGCGGGCTGAGCACATTCCCCAGCTCAGTGTCACCCCGAGGCACACCCCATGATTCTTGAGCTTCAGAGTCACCCTCGGGATGGGCAGAGGATGACAAATTCAGGGTTCACAGCACCTAATGTCAATGCTAATGACCTCAACATGTAAAAGGCAAAGTATAGCTGACAGTGGGGCCACGGATGGGGAGCGGACAGGCAGGGCAGGTGAGGGGCTGTGTTGTCGTCCTCTGCTGGGGGAGGGGGATGATGGCCATGGTCTGGCGACTGAGAGGCAGATGTGGTTATGGCAGATAAGGTGCGGTGCAGTCACCACGCCCGCCACCCGGCTGGGCAGCCAAGGCCTTAGGGCTGTCTGTGATTGGGTTTGTTGTGTGTGCAGTTATCCATCTGGTTAATACTGAACGTGCCACTGAAGTCAGGACAGTCCCTGCCTCCTCACTGTGTGCCATATGCTGCCCCTGGGACTCTGGGGGCAGGGGGCAGGTAGGCGGGGGCACAGCTGGGTCAGCAGACCCTGGCCTGGGTCTCGGAACTGTGCTGCGGTTGGTGTGACCCAGCCCAGGGCTCCCAAGCTGCTGGCCTGGCCCCCACAGAGCTTGAGCAGCTCCCAGTTCGGCAGTGCCTGTCCCTTCCCTGCCGTGCTGGTGGTAGCTGGGGCTCAAGGAGGATCAGCTGAGGACATGTGCGTTGGGCGGCGGGCAGGAGGCGCCTCGCCTCTTGCGCCAGGCTCGCTTTCCTGTTGGTTTCTTTCCTCTGCAGCTACCAAGATGAATGAACTAATGGAGAAATACAGAGTCTTCAGTGATGGCCCACGCGAAAGCACAGGATAGTGGGGGCAGGAAGCCCTCTCCCAAGATCGAGTTGGCCGAGGATGGATGATTGTGGCAGCAGAAGCCGTTGCAGCCCCACGTTGTGCTCTAGGCAGGGACCTTTGGCCCCTTTGGGGACAGAGAGACAAGATGGGTGGTTTGATTTGGACACAAAGAAAGCCTCGGTTTCTAAGCAGCCTCCTCCAGCCTGCTTTCTGCTTCCGCAGCTCCACGTCTCTCTCCTTCCCCCCCATCCTGAGCTGCTCAGGTGGCCCAGGTCTGGGCAGGCTGGCCGAGGCCTTCCTGTCGTCTTGGCAGGCCCGGGCTGTGTCCTCTTCCTGTGGCTTCACTCCTTCCTGCTGTTGCCAGCCACTTGCAAGCAGAGACCCGACTGCCGCCTCCCCTGGCTGGCCTCAGGGTCCTGTGTGAGACGTACCCCTCAGCCGCCCTCCTTGAGTGCTCCTGGATCCCACGCGGGGTACCTGTTTCCTGCTCCTCCCTGGCTGGGCACTCAGCTCTGGGCTGGGGAATTCAGCCTGACTGGTTGTCCAGGAAGATGCTGTCTGGGTTTCCCAGGGTGACCCAGTATCTCCCTGAGCAGTGTGCCTGTCACAGCTGCCTCCCTCCCTGCGAGCACTAGAACAGGCACAACTAGTGGGGCCTCTGCCTCTTTGGGGCCATTGTTGCACCTGCTGCTGCCCGCCCCACCCTGCTCCCTCCTGGTACCATCTCCTTTGCTTCCCCAAGGACCCCGTGGGCACACAAGACAAGGAGGCCAGAAGGAGCCAGGTGCCAGACCCCTCCATCCCAGTCGCCTGAGGCATCCCCCAGCCACCGCTGTGAGAGGTGGGAGGCCAGGCAGGCCTGTGGTCACCACGGTCCAGGTGCACCACCTGATTTACAGGCCAAGGGACTCCTCTTGGTCACCTCTCTGTGCCCCCAGCAGGGGGCTGGCCCTGCAGTGCACCCACCACCGAGGGTTTGCTCCAGAATGAGGTCTTCAGGGCACCACTCCTCCCAGGACCGGGAAGGACCTGGTGCCTTTTGCCTGGAGTGGGGTGGGCAGGGTGGGTCCCCGAGACTGGGGTCTGCAGGACTGGGCTTCACTCCTCCTGTAGTCCCGGTGCTCCCGGCCCATCCCCTAACATTGCTTGTCTCTGGTGGGGGAAGCATTAACTCAGCTGCACAGCTCCCAGGCCAGGCTCATCTCCCTTCCCCAGCAGCGCTGTTAGGTGCACGGTAGACATGATGAAGCGACGTCCTTAAAGCAGCATCTCCCCTTCGCAGTGGGAAATGAGCCGGCAAGCTGTGTGAGCTGGGGTGGGCGGTGTGTGGGCAGCCCCGAGGCTGCCCCATCCCTAGGTTTTGGGGGAGCACCCCATTCCCCTTTGGAGGCTGAGCACGGCATGTGTGGGCACCTTGTTCACACTCCAGAGCTTGCTTCATCCCCATGAGCAGCACCTGATCTCCAGTGACGGGAGACTGAGGCCTGGCAGAGAGGACCTGCTGCCTTTGTGTGACTGGCCCCAGCATGGGGGAGGCATTGGCCCCAGGCCTGTGAGGCCTGGCAGCCACAGCCTGGCTGGGTGGAGGTTACTGCCTTCTGCACCGCTCTGGCTTCCTCCCTGTGCCTGTGAAGAGCTCCTGGAGTCTGCGTGCGTCCCGGGGCCTGCTTCCTAATCTGTAAACACAGGGCGTGTGTCCCAGTGGCTGTGAGCTAGCGAGGGGGCGGAGAGCGAGCCGGCTGCACAGGTCTTGCGGCCCCAGGCCTCATTGTTGGCCAACAGGCAGCTGGGGGCGGGCCGCGGCCGCTGATTAAAGGCCGCCTGGAGCAGCCTATGTGGCGACAGGTGCCCAGAAGCCCAGGAAGCCGGTCAGTGCCCGCCCCAGGTAAGCTGGTGCGGTGGGGTTGGCAAGGACAGTCGCCCCAGGAACCTGGGGGCAAGCAGGCAGAGGCCAGCTCGGGGCCAGCACCTGTGTGCCAGGGACAAGGCCAGGGAGGTCGAGCCCAGGGGGAGCTGAGCGCACTGCATGGGCTCTTTTGGGTGGCTGCTTGCCTGCTTTCCCGAAGCTGGTTCCAGGGCTTGAGACCCAGCATGCTATGCCCCAGGTTCCCAGCCAAGGCATTCCGGTGAAGGGGCTGGACCCCGCTGAGGCGTGGTCCCTGAGCTGCCTCTGCCTCTCCCAATCCCTGCTGGGGACTGTGGCTGGAGGCAGGCAGTAGAGCGCTTGGAGGCCTGCCTTTTCTGTTCGGTAGGTGGCAGGAGTGGGGCTGATGCTCCCAGAGCCAAAGGTCACAGGCGCTGTGGTTGGGGGTGGCAGGAAGTGAGCCCCAGAAGGGTCAGAGCTTTGGCTAGGGGGAGGGTGGTACACAGCAGGGCCTGGGCGAACCCCTCTCTCCAGTCCTCAGAGTTTGTGCCTCTCGCTCTGGCAGTTTGAGGCCTGGCTATCCCCGTGGGAACATCACCATGTCAGAGACACCCCGGGCTGAGACCTTTGTCTTCCTGGACCTGGAAGCTACTGGGCTCCCCAGCATGGATCCTGAGATTGCTGAACTGTCCCTCTTTGCTGTCCACCGCTCCTCCCTGGAGAACCTGGAGCGCGACGAATCTGGTGCCCCAGTACTGCCCCGGGTCCTGGACAAGCTCACGCTGTGCATGTGCCCAGAGCGCCCCTTCACCGCCAAGGCCAGCGAGATCACTGGCCTGAGCAGCGAGGGCCTGGCGCGGTGCCGGAAGGCTGGCTTTGATGGTGCCGTGGTGCGGATGCTACAGGCGTTCCTGAGCCGCCAGGCAGGGCCCATCTGCCTTGTGGCCCACAACGGCTTTGATTATGATTTCCCCCTGCTGTGTGCCGAGCTGCGGCGCCTGGGTGCCCGCCTACCTCGGGACACTGTCTGCCTGGACACACTGCCGGCCCTGCGGGGCCTCGACCGCGCCCACAGCCACGGCACCCGGGCCCGAGGCCGCCAGGGTTACAGCCTTGGCAGCCTCTTCCACCGCTACTTCCAGGCAGAGCCAAGCGCGGCCCACTCAGCGGAGGGCGATGTGCACACTCTGCTCCTGATCTTCCTGCACCGCGCCGCAGAGCTGCTCGCCTGGGCAGATGAGCAGGCCCGCGGGTGGGCCCACATCGAGCCCATGTACTTGCCGCCCGATGACCCCAGCCTGGAGTCCTGAGCACCAGGGCCACCTCCTGTGCCACAGGCAGCGCCAGTCTCCACCGTTCAGCCGGCCTCTACCAACCCCGGCTCCTCATATCTGGGCAGCCTCAGGTCCATGCACCTGCCAGGCCTTCCCTGGCTGCCTGACCAGCCACAGAGCCCTGGATTCCTCTCCAGTCCCCGCTTCCAGGGCCGTGCTCTCCCAGCCAGCCTGTATGCCCAGCAGAGTTTGCTGTTTCCCAATAAACATTGCCAACTACTCACCCTCTGACTCACTGGCCAGATACTAGGGGCTGGACTCCCTTGACCCACTGCTGAGCAGGGCCAGGCGGTGAGCCATGCTAGGGGCCAGCACAAGACCTCCAGGGCTGCCTCCCTGTGGCCTCTTCCCGCGGTGAGGTCCGCGGGTGGCTGGGTGGGGAGATGTCAAGCTCTTGGGTTGGTGTGAGGGCTGATGGGTTGCGGCTGTGGGCTGAGTGCGGCTGTGGGCTGCATTGTCATCCCAGAGGCCCAAAGAAGCCATGAGTAGGGACTTAAGCCCACAGAGCCGGCCACCTGCCTGGGCACAAAGCTCAGCTGCAGTGCTCACCCGCCGTGGGACCTGGAGTGTCTGTCCCTGCTCTGTGAAGTGGTAACAGGGTGAAGTGTTAAGAAACAGGGTGCTGGGGAAAAGGGAGGTGCCCCCACATGCGGGCATGCACATATATATGCTGAGGGCTCTGAGGGTGCATGGAGCAGAGGTGGGGTGGCTGGTGCTGTGAGGGTGACACTGGAAGGGAGCCTATCTTGCACCCCATGTCCCCCTAGGGCCAGGAGGCCGCTCGGTGGGAGGGCAGCTTCTGCCCACCACACTGCACTTTGGGTTCCCTGCTAACCTACTTCAGGGGCCCCACCCTGAGGCACTCCCAGTCTTGCGAGAGGCCTCATGGGTGGGGAGAGACCTGTCACCAACGCCGGGTCAGGTAAGAAGGGGTGGGGTGGCCACGCCTGAGAGTGACTCACACGAGCAAAGCCTGAGCCTCCAGCCAGCTGGACAATCCGGGAAGCCCTAAGTAGGTCAGAATGACTGGAGCCACTGCAGCGTGCACGGTGGTAGGATGGTGAGGCCAGAGCACAGGCAGTGACCACCTCAGACCTTCCTTGTGGCCCGGGCCAGGCCTGACCCTGAGGGCAGCGGGGAACCGTGGAGGGTCATGAGCAGGAGAGGGGCAAAGTCTGGTGTAGGATTCTGCCATATGCTGCTTGGGCCACGTGCCGAGCCGTTCGCGAGTTGCTGTGAAGAAATACTTGAGGCTGGGTCATTTACAAAGACAGCGGGTTTGTTTTGGCTCAGCAGCACCGGCATCTGTTACTGGTGGGGCCTCAGGAAGCTTCCACTTATGGCAGAAGGCAAAGGGGGAGCAAGAGAGAGGCAGAGGAGGTGAACTCACAGTGAGAATTCAACTCCTTCCGGAGGTGAGGACAGCACCAAGCCATTCATAAGGGATCCAACCCCATGACCCAAACGCCTCCCACCAAGGCCCCACCTCCAACATTGGGGGTGGCATTTCAACCTGAGATTTGGAGGTGATGAACGTCCAAACCACATCAGGTTGCTGCATGGAGAATGGGCCAAACAAGAGAGAGGAGAGTGATGGCAAGGCAGGCAGAAGCAGAGCGTGGAGGGCTTTGGTGGAGGGAGGGAGAGCCATGGGCCTGGCCAAGGGGAAGGGGAGGGGCACAGTCTGGGGAAGCCCCACAGGGGCTAGTTTGGGAATGTGGTTTGTAACCAGAAGATCTTGTCACAGCCAAGCTTCCCGAGGAGAGCATCCACCTGGGAGAGTGTCACAAGGCCTGGGCTGGCCCTACAGAAGCTGGAGTAGGGGACACTGAGCTCCCAGATCTGCTGGTGCCCAGACAGGGCCTGCTTCTGTTTATCTGACTGGCCAGGCTCCAGCTGTGCAGCCGAATCCAGCAGGTGGTACCCTTAAAACCCTGGCCTGTTGGGCACGGTGGCTCACGCCTATAATCCCAGCACTTTGGGAGGCCAAGGCAGGCGGATTGCTTGAGCCCAGGAGTTTGAGACTGACCTGGGCAACATAGCAAGAACCTATCTCTACAAAAATTAAAAAGAAAAATTAGGAGTGGAGGCACACATCTGTAGTCCCAGCTACTCAGGAGGTCGAGGGCCAGTGGATCACTTGAGCCTGGGAAGGTGAGGCTGCAGTGAGCCATGATGGCACCACTGCACTCCAGCCTGGGCGACAGTGAGACCCCCCTCCAGATCAAAAAACAAGAGAAAAAGCCCAGTCTTGCCACTGACTTGCTAGGTAGGTGACACCAGGTGGGGCCCTTCTCATTGGGCATGCTAGAAGAGTCTCAATCCCGGGATGGGACAGGCAGGCAGATGACAGCCTGATTTTGGCTGCTGCTGCCTCTGTGGAGGGATCTCTGGTTTTGGGCCCTCTCACCTGTCTTGAGCTGAGGTGCCTCTCTCTCATCACTCTGGGCTCCCCTGGCCTCACGGTGGCCTGGCCTCAGGTGCCCTCCCCAAGTCCATGTTGGGATTGGCTAGGCCAGGCGTCTTGCATACCATGCTTCACAGACAGGCTGTGACCTGCCTCTCTGCTGCCTCAAAGCAGCAATGTGCTTATAAATGGTTAACAACCAGCTTTCCAGGAAAGGAAATGTACACGTATGTATGTAGGCATGGATCTCTCTCCCTTCCTCCCCTGTCTCTTTCTCTATATACACACAGGCACATGCATACATATACATGAACACACGATTTACAAATAATAAAATCCACAATATATAAAAAATGCAACAAAATATACAATATACTCTTCACTGTAAATTCCACATGGCCAATCGATACTCACAAAATACCTCCATTGACTTTTACTGAGTTCTTGTATCTGTATCCAGTACTTGATTGCAACGGATGGACAGGGGTGGTTCCCACATATATGTTGGCTGATGTTTTCATTTATTTTAATAAGATAAACTTGAAGCAGCTAAGATGAACAACTTCTTTGCTTAATTGGATGATAGTTTTCAAATACCAGAAATGTTTCTTTTTCTTTTTGTTTTCTATTTATAATGTAATGACCACAGACCCAGCGTTCTTCAGTTTAATCTGCAATGTTAGCATTTTTCTCATCGCTTTCTAAAGTCTAGGCAATCAACAAAGCAGTAATACATCAAGCCCTGGCATGCCGTGGCATGCCGAGCTCTGTGGTGTAATACTTCCACTTGGCCAGTCTTGAGCTACCAACATGAAGTCACTGAAGGTGACCTTGGGAAGAGATTCCAGGATTTCCACCACACACATCTGACAGATGTCAACACACAGCAACAGTAAAGCATGCTCGAATCATGAAGATGTGAGTTTTGAGTATCTCCTTTGTTTTTCATATAATTTGTCAGTTTACATAATTTAACTTTTAATAATGATATTGTTTGTTTAGCTCTCAAAATTCCTGGACGTTTAACATCTATTAGAATGGGTAAAACAAAAACTACTGACCACACCAAGTGTTGGTTTAACACGGAGGAGATGTGGAGCACCGGGGGTACCTGTGCGTTTCTGGTGGGAAGGGAAAATGGGGCAGCCACTTGGGAAGACACTTCGGCAGTGTCTGAAAACGTTAAACATGCACCTACCACATCAGCCAACAATTCCACTCCTAGATATTTACTCAAGACAAAGGGGTCGATGTAACCATACAAAGACTCATACTCCAATGTTCACAGCAGCTTTTTCATAATAGCCCCAAACAGGAAACAGCCCAAATGTTCATCAGGTGAGTGGTTGGACAAGCCGCAGTGCATCCACACCACGGAATACTACTCAGCAGGGAGAAGTGAGCTCCCAATGTGCGAGCTCATTTTCATGGGACTCACGGTGATGCTGCGGAGCCAACAGTGAACCGACTCCACTGCTCCAGCTCGCCCCTGGCCAGCTGCCTGCCCCTCGTCAAGCTGCGTCACTGACTGATGAGCCACATGAGGCCACCAGGGGTGTCTGCCAGTGGGGAGACAGTGGTGATCACAGAAGTGTGCCTGGGGGACATGTGACATAAGCCTATTGAAAATGGAGTTCACTATGGAGAGGGATGAATACTAAAATCAAAGGCCATAGCATTTCCAGCTTGTCTTTGTGCAGAAGACAATGTGAGGAGCACATTGAAAGCCGCAGCAGAAGGTTGGGGAGTGCCACGGGAACACAGCAGGATGTCTGCATTTCTTGTAAATGATATCCGCCCCCTGCCTGTTGCAAAGAATTCAAGCAGCATTGATGAGTGTCAGCTGCAGAGGTTTCATGTAGGGGACCTCCAGAAACAGTATCAGCATTGTGGGGACACTGCTTTCCTGCAGCTCAGCTTGTGAACACACCTCCCACTCACAGACGTGCACACTCACACACTTGCCCGCATGCAGACACACTTGCACACACACCCTCACACATACATACACGCACACACGTGTGTGTGCACACACTTGCACACACCTGTGAACACACTCGTATACATCTGCACACTTGCACACACACATTACCACGTGTGCACACCTGCATGCACACACACACACCCACACAGACTCACTCTTGCACACACCCACACACTTGTCCACACACCCATACACTCACAACCACACTCAAGCACTCACACACCTGAGCACATACACCCCCCAAACACTTGTGCACACACACATGCACACACCTGCACACATACTTGCACACATTCGTACACCCACACACACACTAGCACACTCACACACCTGCACACAGTTGCACACACCACACGCATGTACATACACTTGCACATACACTCAGACACTCGCACACACACTTGTACACACTGTCAATCCATTCTAGACTTGTATTTGCCATTTAATGTCTCTTGAGCATCAACCTCTTCTAAGGGATTCAGCTGGGACAAGGACCTGGGAAGTGTTACTTGCATTTTGTCTTAGTCCCTATGGGCTGCTATAACAAAAATACTTTAGGTGGCTTACAAACAACAAACAGTTATTGCTCACAGTTCTGGAGTCTGGGAAGGCCATGATCAAGGCACCAGCAGGTTCAGAGTCTGGCGAGGGCTGGTTTCTCAAATTGTGGAAAGGACAAGCTGGCTCACAGGGTCTCCTGTAAGGGCACTAATCTCATTCATGGTGGTGCAGCCCTCGTGACCTACTCACCTTCTAAATGCCCCATCTCCTACTACTGTCACCTTGGTTATTCAGTTTTAACATGAATTTTGGGGGTACACATGCAAGTCCCC